GCTGACAGACAGGCTGCCTGGACCCATTTGCGTGCTGAAGTGCGGCTCCCCGGAGCCCATGGTCCCTCTGGGCGGGTATTGTTAGTTCCCTTGTTTTGTTGGGTGACTGTGAATGGGAGCCTGTTTACGGGCTGAGTTCCTAATAGAAGGCTTCAGTTCCCTCCTAATAATCTATTCTCCAGTGGGTTTTATTTCCAAAGCACAGCAGTACAGAACCTGCCGCCTTGGGAGTTTATTGAGCTTTTTTTTTCCCTCAACATCATTTTCTCCCACATTTTCACTCGAAGGATGCTGTTTTTCCCGCTCATGGATCTGGTTACTGGCCAGGCCACCCGCCTTGGGCTCATGTGTCCTGGGTGCTGTTGGGCGTTGGCGAGAGGGGTTTAGAGGGGGCACTTGCTTCCCTGCTTGGGGTGCTAAGAGCAGAAAGCAGATGGTCAGCTCCTTTGGGGACACCTCCAGCAGACGCAGTCAGGGCCATGTGGCTCTTCCTCACATGCCCCCAGGTGACTTTAGGTCCCTGAGACTGCTCCTGCTCTGTGTTCCACCAGAAAGCAGCAGATTCTGCCCCCCAAAACCAGCCAACCCCGCTGCTCCCTGGAAGCTGGAATCTCCCTCCACACCAGGAGTTCTGGGGGAACTGAGGCTCCCACTCTAGAGACAGACTTCCCCGGCTAAGCGGGTGCGACGCTCACTTCCTGCTGCTCTGGAGTGGCAGACGACAGCCTGTCTCGCTGTCTGCGAGGCAGGGCTGGGAAAGCCCACACACATCCCCACGCGTGCAGGAGCTGCCTTGGCCCCGTAAGCCATCTCAGGCTTTGTCCCGAGCCAGTGGGTCACCAGCCTCACTCCAGACCCTCCTGATGCCAAGGACGGTGTCACTTCCACACGGGCAAACCGCTCCCTGCCCTCTGCAAACGGGCGGCCGCCGGCTCGCTGGGTGGGCCCGTGGGACGTGGGGCGCGTACGCGTCAGAGCCTGGGCCCCCGGGAGAGCGGCTGCGTCACCGGGCAGGCGTTTAGAGGGAACCTTGGCCATCACTCACTCCTAATTTTCATGACGTGCGTTAGCTAAATCGTGTTCTGAGTGTTCATTCAGTGCTGTTTATGGCGTGCTCTCGAGTGCGCTTACCGTTTGTCAGAAGTGCAAACTAGCGAACATACGAGCCTTTAAGACAGGCCATCTGTTCGTCTTAGACCCTTGGACGATTGTCAAACGCTGCTAAAAATAAGCGCTCACTAGCAGAGAGGGGCTGCCCAGGTGATACACAGCAGAGAGGGAAGCGGGCCGCCTGCGTCTGTACCCTCCCCAAAGGGAAAGATACAGCGTGTGTGCTGGGGGGAAGGTTCGGGGGGGGTACCCTGGAAGGAAGCCGAGGGGGACGAGAGCATGAAAGCCCTGCTGATAGGCCTTTTTGGCTGGAGGTATGCGCGTCTCCCTGTTCCTTGCCTCTCGTGTAACTCCACAGCTCAAATACCTTCGATGGCTCCCCATGGCCCAGATTTAAGGGCAAGCTGCCTCGTCTGGCATCAAGGAGCCTCATCAATAAGGCCCCCGCCTTCCTTTCCAGGCTCGTCTCCATGGCACATACCCTGTGCTTCTGCCAAGCTGAATTATTCATTGTTCCCCCAACATATGCTGCACTTTTCACATTTCGCAGGCAGAAGAGTGCTGTGGTTAAGAGTGGGCCCTGCACACAGACTGCACGGGTGCAGCCATCGCCAGCTGCAGGATCTCAACTTCGTGCCTCGGTTTTCTCATCTGTGAAATAGGGATAATGAGAGCATTTACCTCCGAGGGGTGTCATGAGGCTTAAATGAGTTAAAATAAGTGAAAGGTGAAGAATGACGTCGTGAGAACCTGATAAATGTTAGCTGTGAGCATTGTCAGGATTCTTCACACCTCCAGCCTTTGTCCGGGCGGTCCCATCTTCCTGGAAAGTGGGCACATGCTTGCACACACACACACACATACACACACACCAGTGCAAATCCTAACTCAAGCCATCCTTAAAGGGCGGCCGGGAGGCCAGCTTTTTCCTTCAGCCCCTCCCAATCAGACATCGTCTCCCCATGGCCCCTTTTTATGAACTCTCACCCCCTCCTTCAGCCATCAGCTGGGCAAAGGCCTGGATGTGCCTTACTCTCTCTCTCTGTATTCCGTCCACCAGACGGGACCAGGCTTCATGTGTGTTAAATGAACAAATCCCAGAACCTCAGCCTGAGCATGGCTGCAGTGTTAGCCCGAAGGAGCTGCCTTTTCACCCAGAAATGATTCTTCCCGTGGTTAAGGCAGGTTCTTGGACTCGGTCTCTGCTCCTGGAGACTGCTCTTTAAAGCCAGCCTTGTGAGAGCCACTGTGGCTGAGGCCACCAGGGAGGGGCCCAGCGGTAGGCAGTTGGGGGAGAGGGGACTGACCACAGCCTCTGTCCCAGCCTAGAGCCAGAAAGTGGCATGGGGTCAAGGTGAAGCCAGGTGGGCTCTGCAGGTGGGGCTGCGTGAGCAGGGCAGGTAGGATGTTCTGGATGTCGGGGGCTGTGCCTCTGCTGCTTTAATCTGCCCTGGTGATGCAAGACCAAGCCCTGGGACCCAACCTTCTCTTGTGCCCCTTGAGAGTGAGGGTCTGTGAGTACCGTTCCCCCACCCTCACTGTGGAACTGTGAGCATCTCAAGGCAGAGGCTGGGGCTGTGCTGTCTCCGTGTGTCCAGTGCCCAGCTGGGGTCTCTGTGAATGGCTGTGGAAGGAACGAGAGAATGACTGAATGAGCACACACTTCCTCCCCCACCAGAATCTCTGTGAGGCTCCCCACCTCACCAGAGAGCCCACTCTGTGCCCTGGGGTGAATTGTGGGACAGAGGTTGTAGCCAGGAGCTTGCGGGGAGGGGGCAACGGAGGGAGGGCCTTTATCAGCTGATGCTGCTCCAGGGACAGGACCATCCAGGGTGCGGCCTTCTCCAGAGCACTCCTGAGATCTCATCAGCCCTCGGGACACACAGGAGGAGGAGCTGGAAGAGGCCTGGTTGATCAGTCCATGGAACCTCCATGAAGCCTCCACTGTAGGCCCCGAAGCATGTTTGGTGCCAAGGAGGCACAACCAGGGAACAAACAGCCCCTCCCTCATAGAGTTCCCTGTATCTTGGACACCTTTTATGGAGATGGATGGGGCACTTACTCTTAGCCAGCCTGAGATAAGGACACTCAAGTCATCTCCTGAGTCCTCGGAGCATCTTAGGAAGTGGGCTCGGTTATTTCTGTCCCGAGAGGTCAGGGCATTTGCTCAAAACCACATGGATAGTAAGTGGCAGGGCCAGGATTCAAACCCACGACTCAGCCCTTCTCAGCCCACTAAGGGCTTCTCGCCTACCTTGCAATCCCCTGGGGCAGAGGCTAGCACACATGGGGCACCTGCAAAGGACCGAGCGAGGTGCCAGGACTTTAGAGGTGTTTTGTCATCAGGGTGGCTGGAGCACAGGAGGAGCAGCTAACGGTGACCTGCAGGGCAGAGAAGTCCTCTGCAGCCCATGCCTGTGCACCTCAGGGTGTGCAGAGAAGTCCCTCACTGCTTCCCAGCAGTGCTTTCCAGGCTGCCAGCATGTTTAAGCACCGCTAGTCTTTTTTTCTTAACACTGTGCAGGGTGGACATCAAAGGGAGACCAAAGCAGGGTCCCACACCAAGGGACAGAAAATGGAGCTGAAACCTTGAGAAGAAATCCCGGTTGCAGACCAGGGTGGAGTACACCAGTGTGTGTGTGTGTTTGTGTGTGCGCGCATGCACACTTGTGTGTATACATGCCTGTTGTGGGGCATGGAGGCGTGTTAAGCCAAGGATGCCCCCTGGGGCTAGTGAAACTGGAATGGGATCCCCACCTGAATCTGACTGGCCCATCCGTGCTAGTGTGTGTCTGTGCTTTAGGGAGAATGGTCCAGCTGCAGACTCTGGGACCCTGGTGTTCCCTCGCTGCCCAACACGTACCCTGGCTTGGTCTCGGGATCGAGGTCATTTTACTGCCGAATTCCTAGTCACAAACATGGTGGCTGTCACCTAGCAGGGATTTAATAAAGGTTTGTTGAATGAATGAAGGAACGACCATGTGAATGAATGCGAGGGTGTGACCGAGGGTTCCTCGGCCTCAACCTTCTGGTGATGACTTACACAGAGAGAGGGTTTGCCCATCACTAACTTGTGTCCCGGGGTAGATGGCCCAGTGCACCAGACACAGGCGCCCGAACGCGAACGGCGAACAGGCGGTTCCTGAAATCTCCACCGCCAGAGCAGCACTCGCTCCGCACAGCGGATGGATCTGGGCCGCAAACCAGTGCCGCCCACCCCTTCTCATTCTCCCGTTTTATTTTTCTCACCTGCTCCTCGGCCCACACCTGCGTCTCCCTGGCAGGCAGAGAGGTCCGTGTGGATGCCAGGCGCCCCCCTCTAGGCACCTTCCAGTCCTCGCCGGCTCCCACCCCCACCCCAGCCCCGGCCTTTATGGTGCTGGGAAGTGTTCATCTGCGGGGTCGGTAGCATCTTTAAAAAACGATTTTCTTCCTTCTCTGAAGGGGCTAAATATAGCACAGGCATAAACAGAGAAATAGACATTAAGCCAAAATGCCCTTGTGAGAACCATGCCGGGTGGAAGGAACTCTTTAAGAAGACTTGATGAAGCTCCCCCATCCCTCCAACCGCAGCTCCAAGCTGTGGGGGAAGCAGCCGCGGGTTTTTAGGGTTATTGAACTGGGCCGCTTGGCAGTGGCTCCGCCGGGAGCGCCTCAGCGCACAGGTGTGCTGGTGATTGGTGAGTCCTGGTGACGGTCCCCGCCACCCCTCCGCCCTTACCGGGCCAGTGCCCTGGGCCTGTGGAGGAGCTGGCCGAGAACCTGGGCTTCTCAGCCTCCCCACCCCCATGCTTATTGGGTGGCCTTGAGCCGGCTCCCTCTGGAGCTGCCACCCGGCATCACATACGTGTCCGTCTTTTGGCATCGCCCCCCCCAAAACAAAAGAAAACCAGGCCCTCGAGTGCTGGACCCAGCTGGAGTCCTCCCCTTCCCTCCACTGTGCCCTGCCCAGGGCAGAGCATCCAGCAGGCACTTCATAACGCAGTGCTGAGTGAATTCTGGTGGCTGGGCCCCTCGGGGCATCAGCTTTAACATTTCCATCTGCTATGACATCGTGGGCTTTGGTTCCTGTAGAACTTGGGGGAAGGAAGTTTCACCCTCCTGTCTCAGAACCCTCTTTGAGGAAGTTCTTTCTCAAGTCTAACAGGAGAACCACCAGCTACCACTCCTTAATAGAAAAGGCCACTGCTGTTTCCACCCACTATGTGGCATTTATTCTTGAATTGTCCTAACCCATGGTCCCAGGTGGAGGTTTCCACATCCAGGATTTCTGTGCCTGCCTGAGCCAGTCTGGACCACATGTGCCACACCGGCCCCTTCTTGGCATCTGGGCAAGAGGCTGCTTCCTTATCCAGAGAGCCCTGGACACCCCCCTTTGCCCTGGTGCTGGTGGGTGGTCCTGAAGATTTTGTGAAGATCAAATATCATCTGGTTTTCTGCTGCCTGTGGAACAGCGTCCACATTCGGGGCATACAGGGCCCCCAGCAGTGCTCCGTGTGACCTCTGTGCTGGGTTCACCCCACTGTGCCTGCATTTGCCGGGCTTCTTCCAGCTTCCGTACCTTTGTCTGTGCCATGCTCTCCACTCGGAATATCCGCTCCGCTGTCCACACACACACATCCCACCCAGAGACTTATGTATTTATTGCTCATTTATTTATCCTTCCATTGATTAAAAAATATTTACCCAGTGTCAAGCCCTAGGGACCATAATTTGAAAACAAAAAAAGAGAAATAAGAAAATACATATTTCCCTTCCTAATGCCCCTCCTCTTCCTCCTCCCCAACCCCACACCAATAAAAAAGGACCTGACCACACCTAGATATCCTGGGCCACGAGGCACTGTTAACTGGCTGTCGGCAGGGTGGGAGAGGGAGACTGCCACATCGTTCCTGGCAGCAGTAACTGCCACACCACCTCTGGACACCGGAGGTCCGAGGGTCGGGTCATCACGATGCACAGCCCTGGGCCACGTGCTGTGGGGCTGGAAGAGGACCTGAGGCCCGCTCCCCACAGCTCAGCAGAGGCAGCCAGTCTGGCACTGAGGACGCAGACAGATGTGTGGGAGGTGGGCTGGAGGTGCCTTGAGGGGCTGCGGGGAGGGGAAGCCCTGCGTGCCCAGAGGACTTTGAGAGTGGCGCGGTTCACTGAGAGGAGAGCGGAGGCGGGAACTGAATCAGCAAAGGCTTGGGAGCTGGGAATATGGTTTGCTGTAGGGTGGGCTCAGCTCCTTGCAGGACTGGCTGGCTGTGCCCGCACAAGTGCACAGAGAAGTGCCTCGGCTGGAGGGTAGGCGTTCCCATGGAAACCGCCGCATCCCATCTGTGGCCTCAGACATCCTACCTTGTGCCTCTGGGTCCGTGACACCCCCACCGAGATGCTGGGCCACGCTGGCAGAGTTTGCGCTCGTCTCTGGAGCGGAGTTCGGATGATCCGGGTGCCCGTGCGGGTGTAGGGCTCTGTGGGAAGTCTGCCTTCTCGCCCAAGCCCCTGGTTCTCTTGGTTTCCAGGTGCTACCCTTCCTACTTCCAAACTGAGTGTCATTTAGCCAGTCTGAGCCTCAGTTTCCTCATTTTACTATGCCCTACCTTCTAAGGCTGCTGTGAGGCTTGAAGAGATGTGCCTGCAAAAGCACACTGCACGTGTGTTTGCCAACTCTGGCCATGTGGCCTGCGCCTGGGAGCCCAGGGAAGGAGGATGGCTGTGGTTCGCGGTTTGTGCCACGGGGAGTCAGTGGGCATCTGCTGTACGAGGATGGGGCGATGCCTCTCCCTGGCCGTGAGCTGGAGGGGTTGGTGACATCAGCATGGAGGCAGCAGCCGTGTCTGCAGTGGGAAGAGGCAGCCACTGGGGCCCTGGACTGGGGAGCGGGGGTCGCCCCAGGGCTGCTGGCAAAGCTACCTACGGGCATCTCACAGCCTAGACCTGGCGCCCGGGAGAGTCGCAGCGCCATGTCTGACCCCTAGTGGTCACCGGCAGAGCTGCAGGAGCGGTTCCCGGCCCCGAGGAGTCACTGCAGTGGTGGGGGCCCCAGGTCTGGGGAGGCAGGAGCATCCCTGAAAGCTGCTCCCTGTAACTGAGGTCTTGTGGGGCCCCCAAGCAGGGCTACTCTGCCTCAGGTGGATTTCGCTTCCTTTTTCCAGGTGTCATGAGGTTGAATACCACCTGAGGCTTTGATGAAATTGGTCTGGATTTGGACACAAACTGCTGAAAAGAGACAAAAAGATTGTAGGTTCATAGAGGCCAAATCCCACCCACAGCCCCAAGCCACTGGCTCCTATGAAAACCCATCTACACTGTTGTCCTGCTCCAGCTGGGAGGGAGGAAATGCCATGGGCCGTGGAGAGAGGCAAGCGTTTGGCCAGAGGGTCCCATCTGGGGCCTGGATTCCCAGGTGGATTCGTACAAACTACACAGTGTTCTTCGGCCAGAGCACTGTCATGTGACTGCATGGACAGGCGCCCTCCCTGTGGGTGACCTGCCCCCTGCCACAGGCACCACGGCCGCCCACTGCCTCAGCCTGTCCGTGCCACTCGGGTGTTTCTTGGCTGTAGAGCTGTGTGGCACATCTGCTGTCCCCTCCACTAGGCTCAGAGCAGCTCCTGGGAAGGACCAGGAGGGAGATCTGGGGGAAGCCTGCAGGCAATCAGATATAATTTCCTCCTGATCATTAGAGCAAAAGGGAGATGGAGAGGTGAACAGGGATGTTTTTAACTCCTGCCGCCTCCCCAGCATTTCCCCTCTCCCTCCATATAGCCAGTCCCCACAGTAAGACCTGAATGGTCTAAAAGAAAAAAATTCATTGGGAACCCAGCTTGGCAGCAACAGGAACCGATCCCCAAGCCCCAAATCAACGTGGCGTCTTGGCAGCTGCGTCCCCAGAGCACTTTTTCCTTGTTGCATTTTGTTTTGTAATAATCGAGATGTTTTTCTGTGGCTTTCGGTGTAAATGCACTGAGTGGGAGGGGATGGGCATGCTCTCCATTCTTCTGCCCTCATGCGTGTCTCCTTTCTTCGCCTTTGCAGAACCACACGATGAGCCAGCACGCACAGTGAGGGACCGCTCGACAGGACACCTCTCCGCAGAAGGCTTGCCGGAGACGCCGTGGGGAGGGCCATTTGAACATTACATCCAATCAAAGTGTCATTTGCAACCCAGATGTAAAACTCTAATGATTTGGCCATGAGGCGCTGCTATTATAAGCAGCTGGAAATGAATATTAATGGCAGAGATTAAAAGTATTCCATGCTCAGTATTTTTTATTGTCCTGCTACAGCTAGTGTGCTTTTAGAGTTTCCGCCGCAGACTACATTTCTAGAGTTAGAGAAACCCGCTTTTTGAGGCTATTGTCCTTTGTTCCTTCATGTATTATATTGATAGTTTTAAAAAAAGGATTAGTGTGATTTTTTTTCTTTGCTTCTTTTTTTTTTTTCTTTTTTGTTTTTCTTTCCCCCCCTTCGGTTAACTACTTTTTAATTGCAATTCTAGGTAATTGTGCATCGTGATGTGATTGCTTGGCTATTGTCTGAATATTTCCTTTTAATTTTTTAATTAAAGACTAATGCTTTGATTGGATTTGCCAGTTCACCGGACAGTGATTAAAACTATGTAATGAATATAATCGGTTTCAGTGCAACTGGATGGTCTGCTTTTAAATGTGACTTAATCTGACTGCAGTAACTAGTACAGTTCAATAAAGGGAATCCATGCAATTAGCATCCGGCTGCCTGGTTCTCTCTGCCCCAGCCCAGGGCTGCGTGGGGGCTGTCGTCACCTATAGGGTGTGTCCCTTGTGAGTTCCCATGGATCACACGCACCAGTGGGGACCTGCACTCAACAGACCCAGCTTCCCCTGGGAAGGAGCAAGGATAGTAACCTAATGCATGCCAACTGGATGAGCCAGCAGGGGGCACAGAAGTCAGAGTGGAAAGAAGCATTAAGCGTTCTGATCTCATTTATGGAAGTGGGGAACAGGCCCAGGGATAAGTGGGCAGCTACTCCGAGTCCATGTAGCAGGTTGGTAGGGTAGTTCACACGCATCCACAGTCATTGTTTCTGCCCCTTGGGTATAGCATCCCCAGGCACTGGATGCAGATGGCCACGTGGTTAACCCTTACCTTGTCAGGACTCCAGGCAGGACCCAGCTTCTAGTTGTGGCCGAGACGTGGAGATGGGACAGGATCTAGGGGCGGCTCTCCAGCCCCACACGGCGCAGAGCTGGGGGCTGCAGAGTGGAGCCAGGTGGGAGCAGCAGATTCCCAATCACAGAGATCAGCGGGATGTGGAAGTGCTGAGACCAGTGCTGCAGCCAGGACTCCAGTGGGGCAAGCGAGGTACCTAGGATGCAAAATCTCAAGGGTGCCTCCTGACACTCTGCACCCTAGGCACCTTGCTTGCCTTGCCTCCTCCTGGTGCCTTAGGTGCCCCCTGACCCCAAATCAGCCTTAGTCTCCCACATGGCCGTCCTCCCATACCTCCATTATGCCGGTGCTCGGCCAACTTGCCAATCAGAGGCCAGGGCTTCCGAACGTGGCACAGGGAAGCCCTTCCTTGTTAACTTTTCACAAGGGGCAGGACAATTGGTTATTACCCTCTGCAGAGCGGAAATGAAACAGGCAGACAGATTGTATCTAATTATAATGTGACAGTAAGTCATGGTGTGGAATTTGGAGCAATTATACCCGGCATCTTCTCCCACATCGAAGGCTTCTGTAAGAGTTCCCCTTGCTGCCACCACAGGCACTGTTCTGACATGGGTGGGGCTGTTGATTTTCCTAAAGGTATTTTACACCTGCGAATCTCTTGATTCTTGACTCTTGCCAGTTTTGGACAGAATGGAATGGTTGCTCTTCAACTTAAGGGCTCTTACCTTCCAGGAGCCAAGGGCGGTGAACTCCAGTTTTCAGTCCTCCGGAGACTTGGCCATTTTAGGGGAAGACCTCAGGCTAGGCATCAGTATTCACCAAAGTGTGGCGGGCCACAGGCTGGGGCTGGAGCTGGGGCTGGGGGAGGCTGCAGCCAAGGCTGCCTTTTGGACGTGCTGAGACTGTGCGTGAGACTAGGCTCACCAGATCACTGTCTCTGAGCCCTCCCCAGTCCGAATTCATCCCGAACCCCATGGAACCCAGGTGAGTCCTCAGTAAGTACCAACCGAAGATTTGATTTGACGGTTGGTGGCGTAGGGCTAAATTAGTCACTGCCCCCATTAAAAATACAGCGGGGGGTTTAAGAGCTTTTCACGCCGTGTGGGAATCAGCAGCGAAGCCGGCGGATGCCTTGGGTAAGGAGAGAGGCAGCCTAGGGGACCACGAGGTAATGAGGTTTATGGCGATGACAAGGCAGCCAGGGAACCCCACCGACTCCTCCCTCACCCTGGCTCCATTGTTCTCAGGCGGGCTCTGCCCCCGCTGCTGCTGCTCAGAGCCCCTCGTGACTTCCTGCGGGGAGGGGGCTTGTAGAGGGGACACAGCAGCCCTTACTGGGACTTGGATTTGTCACCATCAAGCAATACTGGGGTGGTGGTAGTGCACAGCAATAAACCTGCATTTTGGAGTTCCCCCTTCACTTCCTTCCAGTCAAATGGTTTGGAGCTGGGATGAGCCACTTTACCTCTCAGCTCTGCGGGACCTCGGAGGGTCACTGGGAGGCTTACAGGAAAGGATTCCTATAGGAAAAGGAGGCCTGAGTACCAAGAAAGACCCAGAAGTGGCTTGGTTAGTGTTAGGTTATTTGCATGTACAAATCGTCAGTTTCTAGTGGCTCTGTGGGTGGAGGAATTTTGCCCAGATTGAGAAATGGACCAGGACCCCTGGGCCACAGAACCCTGTCATTGGGTACCTGCCTAGAGCTTCTGGAAGCAGGTGGGTAAGGGTTTTGGTCTCAGTGGAGAAGCAGCCATAGGAAGAATCTTCTTGAATTTCCCCAGCCATAGAGAATGTTCCTCCTAAACTCACAGTATATTTAATATTTAACTTTCCACCTGTTTTTTATTCCTTTCTTTTAAAGTGTGCACTCTGAGGGGTGGGATCTGCACTTACAAGGGTTCAGTAAATAGGACCAAAATTTCAATCCATCCTTTCCTCCATCTGGCAAATGTCTATGGAGCTGCTCTGTGTGCTGGGGATATAAGGGTGGACAGGTAATGTGGTGGACAGCTCACAGCCACATGAAAGCCATCTAACAAAGAAGCCAGTAAACATCCAGCAGTGCCCGGTCACAGGTGCTGTGATGGGAAAACACCAGACTGTGCAAGATGAGTGGGGACCCAAGTTGGAGGCAGGGGCGCATCGAGTGTGCTGAGGAAGTGACTTGAGTTCAGATGTGAAGAATGAAAGGAGCTGGACAGTCCAAGAGCAGTGGGAAGAAAATGCGGTGAATGCAAAAGCCCTGAGGTGGAAGCAAGCTGGAAGTATTCTTAGGGATCTCTGGTCGTACAGGGTTTTGGTTTTAGATGGATTAAAACAAGCCCACACCAGAACACAACACTGTAAACTGACTATACTTCAATTTTTAAAAAGAAAGAAAGAAACAAACAAACAAACAAAAAACAAGCTGACAGAAATTCAGAGTCTTGTCCAAGGTCACACAATTCAGGACAGAACTGAGACTATAGTTTGAATGTCCTGCCTTCTACACTTGGGTGTCTGATTCCCCTCTGTGGCCATCTTCTGTTTGTTGAAAAGCAAATGGATTGAATAATTATTATTATGAATAAAATGACATATGATGTAGGAAAGACTGCTGGCTTTCCTCCTCTTCCTTAATAAATTAACTCTGATTTTTATATGAGCATATGTTACCTTGGAGAGAAGAAGGGTCAGATAATATACCTTATCTGTACCAGAAGATAGGTGTGGCCATATTACTATTGGTGGTTGAATTGGTTCTGCCAGTGGGTTGTAAATGAGGTGGTATATGTAAATTCTAAGAATTGTCCTTAAGAGAAGAAATGAGTTCATCCCCCACCTTTCTTGATGGCTGGAATATAGATGCAATAGCTGGAGCTCCAGAAGCCATTTTGAACCATGAGATAATCTGGAAATGTAATCTAGGGTTGAGCAACAATATAGAAGGAGCTTGGATCTCTAGCAGTTTCAGTTGCATACTAGCTCTATCCTGCTTCCAAAAAGACTTCTTGACCTTGAGAGAGAAATAAACTTCTCCCTTGTTCAAGCCACTATTATTTGGGTTTTTTCTGTTACAATTGAATCAATTCTTATCTAAAACAAATTGGATATATACATAGATGTCTTCCAAATAAGAGTAAATTTAGATGGTTCAAGGAAAGGGTATGGGATGGTTAAAAATATCTGAAGGCTAAGAGATCTACTTTGGTGATGTACTATAATTGATATCTATTTGGCTCAAAGTGCATGGGGTTGGGCTGATCTGGGCTGTGTGTCTGGCTGTTGGTTAATTTGAGACAGCCTCACTTGGAATGACTGAGTCACTTCACCCCAAATGTTTGTGTTTCATCCTCTAGCAGGGTAGACTGACATGTTCTTCTCTTGGCATTGGCCAAGGGCAAGAGCAGAGCGAGCCTAATTGTGCAAGTACTTTCAAGCTTCTGCTTGTGCATCATGTTTGCTCACAGGGCCAATCTCAAGGGCAACTCAAGGGCAGGGAAATATACCTACTCCTGGGAAGAACTGCAAAATCCCAGTACCAAGGGCTGGATTCAGGGAGGGATGGGGAATTGGGGTCATTTATATAACTTATCTACCACAGAACTGAAAAGGCCCCTACTCTCCTCCTAAGGCAAAACCTAGTAGTTAACAGGTGCCATCCAGGACCTCAGCTTAGGAAATGAACAAACTGAGGTTGTCCACCTTAGCCTTGATGTGTTGGACCTTGCCTTTGGAAAAGAGAAAGGCACCGTCAAAAGATTTGTCACCCAAATGCTTGTTAGTTATCAAAGTAAGTTTACAGGGTCACTATTTTTTACAATTTACAGTTGATTTTGGCTCACTCAGGCTTGCCAGGAGAGTGAGCATCCTCAGATTTTGAGAATGAGAGAAAACTCCCGCTACTTGACAAAAGCCGAACATTTACAACTCTGTCTTACTTGGTCTCTCTCCAGAAGGACCAAATAGTGTGTAGTTTGCCATGCACATCCCTGGCTGTATCTTTCTTCCATGCCTTAGCCCATGCTTTTCCTCCTCCTGGAATGCCCTTCCCTTCCTTTTTACCTGGTTAACTTTCTTTCTTTCTTTCTTTCTTTCTTTCTTTCTTTCTTTCTTTCTTTCTTTCTTTCTTTCTTTCTTTCCTTCTTTCTTTCCTTCTTTCTTCTTCTCTCTTTCTTTCCTTCTCTCTTTCTTTCTTCTCTCTTTCTTTCTTCTCTCTTTCTTTCTTCTTTCTTTCTTTCTTTCTTTCTTTCTTTCTTTCTTTCTTCTTCTTTCTTCTTCTTCTTCTTCTTCTTCTTCTTCTTCTTCTTCTTCGTTCGGTTACGTTACGTTAGTTTACGTTTATTACGTTTATTATTTACGTTGTTTAGTTA